TTGTTGTGGACAAACACTCTTAGGGAATCCGATACCAAGGGAAGAGTACTTGGACATTTCACTATTCCAATGAAATAACATGTATGTAAGATCAAACCGCGCAAATCTCCAATCAACTGAAGTCACAGAGACGCAAGTATATAATACGATATTGTCTCTTAAAAGGCTAATGCAAATGGATACTGCGCTAGGTGGACCCTTAAAACATTGTGAGCACTATAGAGACCTTCACACCTCTGAAAATTTAAAATAAAACACTGTAATAGTTAAACTAAATAAGTGCATACATATGCCCTATGAAGACCCTTACCCCTCTGAAGGGCAATCAAAAAAAAAAAAAAAATTGAATAAATTGAGTGAGTACAGTAATCATTAATACTGTAAGAAACCATGATATGTGGTCAAATTCACCTAAAATTTCATGCATTATAGTACATGAAATAATAATTGAATAAATTGAGTGAGTACAGTAATCATATATACGTGTAAGAAACCGTGACAATGTGGTCAAATTTACCTAAAATTCAATGAAATAACACGTTTATGTCTTGTCTCTCTGTGACCACCTTAAAGTGGTTTTTTTACCTTAATGTATTCTCTGTGTTAAGGAGAAACCTTTCAAAAGCTGATCCCCCCCAACCCCCCAAACAGTTTCCTGAGTCCGATCTCGATCAAGCACTCCGCTCGTCTGCAACAGCTCTTCTCCCCTCTCTCCTCTCAGTGGAGACTCACCATTGGCTCCTGCTGCTGTCAGTCAATTCCTGTGAGGAAGGAGGAAGAGGTGGGGCTGAGTCGCTCTGTGTGTGTCTATGGAGGCACACAGCCCAGCTCAGGGATCCAGCCAGCATTAGTGCCTCCATAGCAAGTAGCTTGCTATGAGGGCACACACAGAGGAGGAGTGTAGGATATTGTAATTATATATATATATATATATATATATATATATATATATATATATATATAGTGCATATTCACATTACTGACCAAAAGAATAGCCAAAGACTCCTTACTATGTTAACCACAAGAATTTACTCCCCTTCCTGACCAGGCCATTTTTTGCGTTTCGGCGCTGCATTACTTTAACAGAAAATTGCACGGTCATGCAAAGCTGCACCCAAATGAAATTTATATCCCTTTTCCCCACGAATTGAGCTTTCTTTCAGTGGTATTTGATCACCTGTGCGGTTATTATTTTTTGTGCTATAAAAAAAAAAGACCGACAAGTTTGAGAAAAAAACTATATTTTTGACTGATATTAAACATGTCCAGTAAAAAAATAAAAAAAATCAAATTTCATCACAAATTTAGGGCAAAATGTATTCTGCGACATGTCTTTGCTAAAAAGAATCCCAATACGTGTAAATTAATTGGTTTACGTGAAAGTTATAGCGTTTACAAATGGCGGTATAGATACTGAAAAATTTTTTTCTACTAGTAATGGCAGCGATCAGCAACTTAAAGCAGGACTGCAGCAGACTTTCTGACACTGGGAGCAACTGACTTGGTGTCACTGACATCCTCAGTGACACCAGTACAGTGACCAGTGCTAATAAAAAGCACTGACACTATACTAATGGCACTGGGCAAGAAGGGATAACAGGGGCGATCAAAGGCCTGAGCTGACAGGGAGGAGAACTGTTAGTAAACAGTCCTCCTCCCTGCCGGAGATGCTCGGTAATCACTGGGCGCCAGTGGATAACCACCAGCTGGGACCCGGTGATTGACAGCCGTGGCCGCGAATGGTGACGCGGGTAGGACGTGCGCGTCCCCTACCCGGAAATGCAAAATCACGTAAATATACATGATTTTACGGAATTGCAGCAGACTTTCTGACACTGGGAGCAACTGACTTGGTGTCACTGATATCCTCAGTGACACCAGTACAGTGACCAGTGCTAATAAAAAGCACTGACACTGTACTAATGGCACAGGGCAAGAAGGGGTTAACAGGGGCGATCAAAGGACTGAGCTGACAGGGAGGAGAACTGTTAGAAAACAGTCCTCCTCCCTGTCGGAGATGCTCGGTAATCACTGGGCGCCAGTGGGTAATCACCAGCTTGGACCCGGTGATTGACAGCCGTGGCTGCGAATGGTGGCGCGGGTAGGATGCGCGCGCCCCCTACCCGGAAATGCAAAATCACGTATATATACATGATTTTGCGCACCCATGCCACCCTGTAGCAGTATTTCTGCTATAGGGTGGTTCAGGAAGTCGTTAATTTATGCACAAGGTAAGTACTTTACCTTGGCTATGTTGGGATAACCTGTTTTTGGATAAATATGTGGAGAGTCGGGGAGTTCAGAGCAGCTTATTTGCAAATCTACCAGCATTGTAAAATGCAAGTTTATCTGGTTGGATTTGGAAAGGGCTTAAATATTCATAGTGTACTGGTTTATAGTGATGAGAATTTCAATGTGGGTGTCATGTCCACCTTTGTACAAGGATGTTAAAGATTGCCATAAACAAGACAAGGAGTATCTATTTAACTTTTTAATTAAAATCTATGCATGCTGCTGTTTAGGTCTAGACACAGTGGGGGGGATTTACTAAAGATGGTAGCCAATCAGCTTCTAACCTCAGCTTATTAAATTAAGCTTTGGCAATAAAACCTGGATGCTGATTGGTTTCTATGTAGAAGTGCATCTGATTTTGCACGCTCCAGCTTTAGTAAATAAACCCATTGTAACACATAAGATGATACATGCTCATAGAACCAACCAATCAGATTGCCCGACACTTTGGTCAATGGGAAAAGGTGTATATTAGGGAAGGTTTTTTGGTTGAGTGGGGACAGGAGAAAGTGGGTCCTCTGAAGGTGTCTGATGATTACATGAATATTCTAAGTATCCTGTCATCTGCTTTGTCTGTACCTCTGTCTTATGGATTGTTGCTGAGCCCATTAAATCTCTCTCTGGAAAAGGACTGTTGGACTAAGCTCCAAGGACCAGGGCCCTCGAACCCCTCGTGTATTTTATTGTATTGTTACTGTACTGTCGCATGTATTGTCTCTCCCATTGTAATGTGCAGCGCTGAGCAAACTGTTGGCGCCAGGGGCGGACTGACCATTTGGAAACTCGGGGGCGCTGCCCGAGGGCCCGGGGTCAGTAGGGGGCCCCATTAGATGCCCCTGGTACCTTTTTCACAGGCTTTTTTGAGTTTGGGCAAGGACACAGGGGCCCCATGATCCCCTTTTGCCCAGGGGCCCCATGAGTTGTCAGTCCACCCCTGGTTGGCGCTACATAAATGCTGTGTAATAATAATAATTGCTGTGGAAAATACATTTATAAATACTCTGTCTTATGGACTGTTTGGCTCCATGTACACGGGACACTTCTGAATGATGGAAACTGACTGCTGGAATACGTAGGTTAAAAAACGTCTGTTTAGCCACGTTTGCATACCGCGTTTATGCACGTTTATCAGCGTTTGCGTTTAGAAGCATTTTTTAAAGATAACCTCAGGAGATCTTCCAAAATGCCCAGAATGCACAGTAAAAAAATTTACTATTTCAGACAACATTTTGAGAGAAATAGAGAGAGCAGAAGCAGAGAGAGCAGTATTTGTTGAGGTTATTTGTCTTTTTTTTTTTGTGGTGTTTGGATGTGTTCCAGATCATTTCTGTGCAGACATTATTGCAGCAGTGTCTACCATATTTTATTTCATGCAAAACCTCAAAGTATGATGTACCAGGTCCATTTGAGTACTGGGAAAACGCTTTGCATGCATTTTTCATGATGAAAAAAGGCCCTGGACAGCATCTGGGAATGGAAGAGTTAAAAAAAATTTCACACGCAAACGCTCATATACGCGGTTAGTCGCATTTAGCCACATTTAAAAGCGTTTGAAACTCTGATAAAATCTACACCTGAACCCAAGTTTTCTGCGTTCCAAAAAAGACAGTAAACTGAACTGCCTGTAAACGACGATGTGTATACATGGACACATAGGAAAACATTAGGGAGAGTTCAGGGGCTGCTGAAAAAAAACGCTCAACAGCTCCTGAACATCAGTTTATCAGCTGCAGTGTACATGAGCCCTTTCTGTGTGGACCTCTAATTGATATAAGACAACAAGGAGGAGCCAAGATCTTTGGCGGGGGACCCCAGAAGAGGAGGTTTAGGGCCCCTCTGAGATAAAATAGTGCACAGAACAAGTAAGTATAACATGCTTGTTATTTTAATTAAAAAAACCCCCAAAGCTTAAGTTTTACAGCCATTTTAAAGTACATATACTGTATATGTATACATTTTGTATATAAAAATTAAAACTTTGAATAGCATAAGGAAGGGTTAAAACCACAGGCAGATTTCCTTTCACTTCCTGCCCTGTAGGCTCAACAGGAAGTGAGAGGAAATAATTTCAATACTTTAAACATGTGGTGCTGGACACTTTATTTTCCACTGCACAGTACTCAGCAACGGCAGTGAAAATGAAAGCAGTTATTTCAGTACTCAGCAACGGCAGTGAAAATGAAAGCAGTTATTTCAGTACTCAGCAACAGCAGTGAAAATGAAAGCAGTTATTTCAGTACTCAGCAACGGCAGTGAAAATTGAAAGCAGTTATTTCAATCTATTCTGCACTATTGGGATGTTCCACATGCCCCTGTTCATCAAAAGTAAAGAATCTGAATGATATCAGAAGCACAGTTTCTTCCCACAGATGCTTTGGTAAAGAGACCTTTTGCTGTTATATAAGTGACAGTGACACAAGATCATATACATCTGCAGTATGTCTCCAGTCGATTTTTTTTTTGCACTGGCCACGTACTGCTGTGAAAATGAAATCTAATAATGATGTATACCCCTCTACCCACCACTATCACCTGCTAGCCTGAAGTAGTTGAAAGGTGTAGGGAAACCTGGAATATATTGTATCATCTGTACTATCGAAAACTGAATATTGGAGACTTTTTCCATGGTCCATAATACCTGGTCATTGACATAACAAAATATCCTTTGTCCTTCTCTTCATTAGGGGTTATGGGGTCTCTACAGAGGAATGGGGGCCCCCCTGGCTGGTGTGACCCCAATAATGGCAGTCACATTTTTTGGATTTAGTCTGGGAAAGAAGCTGCAGCAGAATCATCCAAATGAGCAGCTCAGGTGAGATATTGCTGCCTAATAGGTGTTGGTGACAGGTCCAATCTAAAAAAAACCTATCTGCTTACATGTTTCCTTCTCTTTGGTTCCAACGATTCTAGACCACATCAAGTATTTTCAGCAGGAATGTTGGCAGGAGTTTTTGGTGCTGTTATCGTCATCCCTGCGGAGCGCATCAAATGTTTACTACAGGTGAGCGACCAACTTGCCAAAAATGTATAGCTGATGTGCACAGTGCCAAAAGCCACAGCAACCAATCAGATTTTAGCTTGCAGTAGTCCAATCTCTACATGATAAATTCTGATTGGATGCTTTATACATTGCATTCTGTCTAATGAATTAGCTAGCATTAGTTTTATTTATTTTTATTTTTTTTTCTTGGTTGCCTTACTATTGCTTTTCAAGTTTAATCATTTGCTCATTAAAGTGAACCTGTCACTAACATAACATAAGAGAACATAACATAACAATCTGACACTAGACTCCACAAGAGGACTGTACCTACCTTTTTGTGATGTGAAAGATGGTCCTGTGCTTCTTAGGAGTCTCTGATCCCAGTCATGCTCTATATTCACAATGTAATAATGAGACAAGTCATATTTCTAGCCTGCCTCTGGCATCCTTCAAAGCAATGTGCACTCCTCAATGACCTACAGAATATATTTAAAAAATATATCTTTTTCAAAATATATATTTTTTTAAATATATTCTTCAGATTTTTTTTAACATATAAAAATGTCATTTTAACATATATTTTTACATATATTTGTAAATGCATTCCAAAAATGTAGATTTGTATTTTTAAAGACATACAGTATATTTGAAATGTATTTTTAAAAATATTTTTCATATATTTTGTAATAAAAATGCATTTCAACATGCAGTGTATATATATATTTATTGAAATATATTTTGAAATATATATTGAATATGGCCAAAATTGAAGCATTTAAAATATGTGGCAATATATTTGGGAAGAATATTTTTACAATATATTTCAAATATATGTTTCTTACATATGGGCAGATCAGCATGTGCCATCACCACGTGGTGCCTGTTCTCAGACAGTTAGGTTAAGCTGCTCAGGTAATGATAGGTTCAGCTTAATCCACCAACTGGCTAACTTCCAAGTTTCATGGCCAAAAAGGTCCCAGCTACATTTCTATACATGTTGGTTGAGTGACAGAGAAGGCCAGCTCAGGTTTTGTATTTTACATATTTATACTGCATCATATTATGCGGGATGTTACAGAGTACATAGATCATATCCATCACTAGTGCCTACCGTGAAGGAGCTTACACTCCAATGTCCCCACTTTATAATTCCCCTAGTCAAATCACTATACTGCTTTACTGAATAAGCCTGGGAGTTATAACAGAAATGTTATATTTGGGTATGTAAGCATATCAGCCCCTTATCAATATTGTATCCCTCCCTTATCTCTCTTTTCTTTAATATCTTTGTTATTTTTAGTGTAGACACCCTGCCCTAAGCAGGAGTGTCTATCTAAATGTAGAGGTGCCAACCTGCAACCAGCTTAGCTGAATTGATAGTTCATCTTATTTGGGTTTCTTCTGGGCCCTGGTTACTGTATGTGTCCATCTGTTGCCTATAGGTGGCACGGCTGCCTCTGGCAATAGCATGAAAACAATCAAAGTCTTCAATATTTATTTATCTCATCCTGGCCAACCAGTAGGAGTTTCCTTACCACTGGCACATGCTGGGAGAGGGTATAAATACTCAAAGAGCGACCTTAGGAAGTCAGTCTGTTCTCTCCTGGGCCTCCTGCCTGGGGGAGGGGGTGTGTTGTGTTGCTGAAACCTCTTAGGCCTGCTGCCTGCGAGAGTGACCACATGGTTTGGCAGAGGCCTGGATTTAGGGATTTGCCTGCAGAGCCTGGGGATTGAAGAGCCATGAAGTACCTCCAGATGTACCTCACTGGAGTAAGGAGTCTCTCGACAGGGTGCTGGCAGCTTATTTTCAAGTGCTTTACAGTCAGGAGCCAAAATCACAAAATGCTGGGTCAGTTTCAAGGTTATTTATCTGTGAGGAATTGAGTACTTTTATTGTGAACTCTGCTAGTCCATGGGTGTCCTGTGCCCTATCCCTCTCTCCCTGAAGTTTTCTGTGTGATCAATAAACTTTTTTGTTTACACCTTAAATGGTTGGATGAAATGTCAGCCGACATTGTTACTGGCTGTACCAATATGCCTCTGGGGGTCAGAGCTGTTCCGCACTGCGAGGATTTAGTCTAGGGGACTATAAGAGCTCTTTTACATATCTGATCCTCTACTCCCTCAGAAAACGGCACTCCTCTATGCTCAGTGATTGGACTCTTCCTTGGCTTCTTCATGTCTAATGTAGGGCTATGGACCCTGCATCAATCTTAAATGTCAACAGAGGACCTTAGACCACTGAAGTGCAGGAGAGAAGAAGCTGAATGGACTGGTTTAGCAACATGAATGAGACTGTGGGGTTGGGGAATGTGCTTTTTCTTGTCCCCCTAAACATAATCAAGCAGTTAATCCTTGTACTGTTGGCATAGCCCCACTACAAGAAAGGGATTTTTACTTTTCTCAGAGTTCAGCTTTAATCTTTTTTTGTATCACCCTTTAAAATGTGAATCAGCCACTTCTCTTTTTGTTCCTTCCTTTCTTTTACTCTTTATTACTCTATCAATCCTGCCCACTTCTTATTGTTCCTATCATCAGGAACCAGGTGGTGTCAGCATGGAAACTGGAATTGTAGTGCCAACAGCGAGATTTGGTATTCCAAGGTTTATATTGTTTAACAATGTGTTTTTCTTGTTAATTTTATGTGAGTGCATACGGTGTAACTACAGCACCATACTACACCATAAATATTACTTACGTTTGTTCTTTGCTGTTGATCTAAGTTAATCTAAAGTTATGGACATTATGGGGGGGATTTACTAAAACTGGTGCATATTGAATCTGTGCAGCTGTGCATAGTAACCAATCAGCTTCTATCCTTAGCTTGTCCAATAAAGCTTTGACAATAAAACCTAGAAGCTGATTGGTTACTATGCACAGCTGCATCAGATTCTGTGTGCACCAGTTTTAGTAAATCATCCCCTATATATTAATGCACTCTGTCCCTCCTTTAGGGACCAAAGGTTCTTTGGTGGGGGGAGTGTGTAGCTGGCTGCCATCTTCAGCTGGTGCACTATGTAAACAGTTCGGCAGTGAACAGCTGAAGAGCAGGCTAAACTGTTTCTGCATGCGATCTCTCGGTAACCCCCGCCACTGCTCCAGAGAGGGACCGAGTGTGCAGCAATGGGCTGCATATGTTTTCTTGATTCCCCAATCCCCCTCCCTCTTGACAAGCAGCAGATGGACCAATCAGTAAAGATTAGAGGAGGATGATGGGACATGAATCCTCTGGAGAGCATTGCCCATTGGAAGTAAGTAATGAGGCCTGAACTACAGCTCCCACCAAGCCTTGCTGCAGAGAAAGAGCAGGATTTCCCTGGGCAAAAATTCACTGGAAGGGCCAGTGCAGTGTGGGGAGAGATAGTGAAAGGACCGTGCTGTGGAGACCATCCCAAAGAGAGAGAGAGAGAGAGACTGAGCCACTGGAAAGCCATTGCTGTGTGGGGAAACCAGAGAGTACAGAGTGAGACTGAATGCGGAGGGAAGGAGCCACTGGCAGGATATAGTCTTTGCTGTGCTGCAAACCTGAGTTTCCCCAAGCAACTCAGAGTGAGTGGACACCTAAGCAGAGGGACCACTGCTGCTGTGTCACTGGGTCCGGTGAGTGGACCTTGCAGCCATGACTTTTTGCTACCATTAGTTACTGAGCCCGTAGGAACTGACTATACAGCTGCTTTATAGCTCTATTTCTGCCTGCAGGCATTATTAACTGTCCTCATGCATGCCAACAGTATCATTGGGCCTCAACGTTAGTCGGCAGAAGAGTTAGGATTAAAGGCTGCCCCTGTACAGTTGCTACCCAGAGACCTTTGCCCTTTTTCTTATTTTAAGAGGTACCTCTTAGGGGATACAGCACCATATCCTAGACATTCCCTTAGAGTGCGCTATGATCCATTGTATAAAATATGAGTTGAGACAGTTGTGCCAAAAAAATGGCTCTTTTATTGAAGACTGATCGTGATGCTCTTTTATGAAGGATGAAGCCATTTATTATCACATAGTTTAGGGAGGTGCTCTATACCCTGTGACGTCACACTGCATGGCCCCTGTGGACGGCCGGCGGCCATTTTGGAATTCCCTGCTACCAGCTGCTCACTATACATTATCTCCTGTTGTTTTGGCTCGTTACTTCCGAGCCCCCCCCCCCTCCTTTAAGGATTATTGGGATGATCTGGTGGCCACATCTGGATTGGTTAGACTCCCCCCCGGTGGTGAAACGACTACACGTCCTCTGCTATCTGGAGACCCTGAGGTTGTGATGTTTGCCCAGCTGATGCAGGCCAGATGACCTTTCTCTGTGATCCAGTTCCAGTACCAGTAGCCGGATGACCAGGAGTTGGTTAACACTCAAATGCGCATTACCATTGCGCTTTCTGGTTAGTGCAATCTACACTCAGTTCTGTGGGAAGAATATGGTCACAGAAGTCACTTATTGTGTCACCTTTTTACCTTGAAATTGGTTTACATCATACACCGCAAGAACACTTTTGTTGAAGATTTTGATTGATTTATTCATTCATGTATCATGATTATTATCCCTGGACTTTTAGGATAATTTCTTAAATTTATTTTCAATATTAAGTGGTGTTCATGTTACCATTCACTATATGCACTTTCATTATATGCACCGTATGAGGATTTGCATGCAATATTATGTTTACTAGCGCTGCATGGTTGTTCGTTATATTATCACATAGTTGTTTGGATCTTTTTTAAATCATAATGATAACAGAAATCACCCAAATGGCCATGATCAAAAGTTTACATACCCTGGAATGTTTGGCCTTGGTACAGACACACAAGGTGACACACACAAGTTAAAGTGCCAATTAGAGGTTAATGTCCCACATCTGTGGCTTTTTAAATTGCAGTTAGTGTCAGTGTATAAATAGTCAATGAGTTTGTTAGCTCTTACGTGGAAGCACTGACTAGGCTAGACACTGAGCCATGGGGATCAGAAAAGTCCTGCGTAACAAGGTAATGGAACTTTATCAAGATGGAAAAGGACATAAAAAGATGTCCAAAGCCTTGAATATGCCAATCAGTACTGTTAAATCACCTATTAAGAAGTGGAAAGTTTGGGGATCTCTTGATATCCACAATTTCTGCCAGGGTATGTAAACTTTTGAGCACAACTATATGTACCATAGATTGCTGAATTTGCTGGTTTACGTATTGATTCCAGTTTAATGGTATAGAAACCGATTCTAAATTACTTTGGCAAAACTATTATACTGTCTAGCAGACTTTGCTTAAATTTACCTTCTGTGTGCTTAATGCTGCTCGAACCACCATTTATTTCAACCTGGAGCAATAAATTGTGTTCATTTACCATTGAAAGGTCTTTTGTCTATTTTCTGGTAGTAATTCAGTTCTTTCCTCCTATGATGCAGGGGTCAGGACTCACATGTGATGTCATTACAATCAATCACTACAGAGGCAGTAGGGGACCTCTCTGACTGGTGGCCTAGACAGAACTGTCACTAGGTCCAGGTCCACCATTTATTGATGCCTGCCCAAATATATATATATATATATATATATATATTCTAACCATTCCCCATTCTATCCAAATTAATGAATACTAAATATGGTTTTAGCTATAATTTTACCCTTTTCTCTCTCTCAGGCTCAAGCAAACAGCTCAGTGAAAAGGTTTGCAGGACCCATAGACTGTGCCCAGCAACTGTACAGGGAGCAAGGGATACAGAGTTTTGTACCGTGGCACTGTACTTACTCTGTTAAGAGGTAAGAGTGTTCTTCTTTAGAGAACTCTACAAAGTACTATTATATCTAAAATTACCCCCACCCCCCCCCCAAAAAAAAAAAAAAAAAAAAAAAAAAAAAAAAAAATATATATATATATATATATATATATATATATATATATATATTCTCAACACAAATGTGATACAAAAAAGTTATATTACCCATACCAAATATCTTCCTTGTTGTCAGTCTTTATCTCTGGCAGTCAGGTAGATGATGCCATTACAATCTAAAGGAAGCCTTTATCTGTGTAACACATAGCTATCCTGACATTGAGGGATATTGGAATACGAATGTTATATTAACATCACTCTCTATGCACTCCGTAAGATATCCCGGCTACTGGAATGTACTTCATGAGCTACGAGTGGATGAAAACAGAGGCTTTACACCAGAAGGTCAAAGGTGACTAGCAATTCAATAATTATTCACCAATATGAAAGTAAATTGCTACAAAGTATAAAGCTTCCAGTTTTACAAATATGCTTATAACAAACATATGAAATAAATATACTATGTAATAGGCTGTATTTATGGCAGAGCCTATTGGGCTATACTTCAGTGCACATGTGCTAGCAGGAGGAGAGCAGAGAATGAAGAACTCATCAGGGAGCAACTACTCATTCACTGTCCAATCAGCAGGCAGGAGGTGTGATCCAAACAGTGCTGCTGCAACAGAGGTGAAGGTCTTGGCTGTGCTGTTAGCAGGGGCAACTGATTTACAAACTGGTTTATCAGAATTACAAACCATTTGGGACGTACCACAGTAAAAGCGCTCCTGCACATGTATTTTAGTTATGTGCGTACCTACATCAGGTTCAGCCTTAAATGTCCATCAACCCCCAAATATCTTTGGAAATTTCAATGGCAGAGAAGAGGTGATTGACATAATGTCCATGCATGCACACTGCAATTTGGATGTTCTGATATTATACTACATGCACACATAGGACAAATTGATCTGAGTTTAGATGTGCCAAGATCTGAGAAATAATTGCTCCCTTAAAGTGTTACTAAACCCACAATAGTATAATCAGTCTATATATGCTGTAAAACATGCTTGTTATACTCACTGTGGAACCTAAGGGATAAAACCTTCTAATTGTGTAAAAAGGATGTTTGATCCTCCCCTTCTACTATCCCCAATCCATCTGCTGATAGAACATACCCTTGGGGGCAAACTGCACATGCTCAGTTTGGTGTGTATTGCTAGATAGTTTATTTTTTTCTTGGCAGAGTGCATGTGATCAGCACTTAGCAAATCAGCACTGTGCAGATAGAGGGTCAGGGGTTATTCAGCCTCTAATGACAATCAGGGAAGAATGAAAATTCCTCCAGAAGCTTTAACCAGTGTTCTGCTGGACACTAATAAAAGTCACAAGAGTGCCCTTACTGCTGAGGAGAAAAGGCATTTAGCAGTTTATATTTACTAGAATAATTGCATTTCCATGTTGTGTGTACTGTGGGAGACCAGATATAGAGAATGCAGGATCCTGGGTTTAGTAACACTTTAAGGAATAGAAGTCTCGCCTTTCACAGTAAAGCTGCAAATTGACACTGACAGAATGATGAACTTGCTGCCACATATAATAAAATATTTTACAGGCTATGACTGTTAATTCTGTTTGGAAGCAGCTTTTCTTGTTTTATCAAAGTCTAAGCTTGGTGGAACCAGATCACAACTGCTAATTACATTGCAATATTACATGGATTTATGGAAATCAGGACAGTAAAAACCGAATTCTAATTTGTTGATATCAATTACTGCATTTTATCTTGATCTTCTAACACTGTAGATAAATCTGTATTTTGTTCATCCTTGTATCTTCTAAATCCCACAGCGTCAACAATCTCGGTGCAGAGCGTATTTTGCTCGCAGGAGGTGTGGCTGGCATGTGTAACTGGGTAGTGGCCATTCCTATGGACGTACTAAAGTCTCGATTTCAGACAGGTATCTCAGCTTACATTGTCTTTTCAACATACATGTGCTCCATGTAAAAAATTGAAAACGATTTAAAGAAAAAGTGTATTAACCTCACACATGACATGACTTGGCTGAGTGGGTCATATCCCATCATGCAGGCATTGGGATATAAGATCTTCAGCTTTCCCAATGCAAAAAAATTACATAACAGTGATAACTGGATGCGGTTGAGAGTTTGTGCTATTCTTTGTAAACAATATTAAAGCCTAGGTACATTTTTTTTATGAGCACAATGGATGTTACTCACATTTAATACAAAGTCTACTGGCTGGCATAGTGTAAATCTGATCAGGGCTGATACCAATGTTAGTACTGTCACAGGCTGACTATGCCCACCCTTTCCACCCTCTCATCCATTCATAGAAGCCATACTATAGCATCCATGAATAAAAAGCACTCTTTCGAATGGAAAATGGATGGATTAATGGAAGGTCTACCTTTTCCATTCATATATCCTTTTTCATTCATGGAAGATATAGTACGATTTCTGTGAATAAAAGAAAGAGGTGGGGGGTTGAAGGGGTGGGCATTGTCAGCACTCTAGATGAGTGCGTGCCACAGGTCCATTGACCCCTGCAGCACCAGAAGATCATGGCTACAGAAAAGGATTGTACAACCAAACTGAAGGGTTATGACAAGATTTCAGCTGTGCCATTAACTGTTTTTTTATATTGTCTCATTCCAGCTAATGCTGACCAATACAGAGGAGCCCTGGATGTCTTAAGAGAAGTTCTGAAAAACGAGGGGCCCAGAGGGTTGTACAAGGGCTTTACAGCAGCCATGTTGCGAGCATTCCCAGCCAATGCGGTGAGTGCTAAAGAAGCAATGAATGAATGTTTTCCCCCCAGGAAAATCCAGCACTGGGGATGTTTGCATAGAGATAACTCTCCCCCTTCTAGGTGCAAATGTCTATGTTTTTAAAATAATATATTATAAGAAAGATATTCAGCAGGGGTTTATTTACTAAAGCTGGAGAGTACAAAATCACGCTCACTTCTGCTTAGAAACTAATCAGCTTCCAGGTTTTATTGCCAAAGCTTAATTGAAAAAGCTGAGGTTAGAAGCCGATTGGCTGCCATGCACAGGTGCTCCAGATTCTGAGTGAACCAGTTTTAGTAAATCTACGCCATAGTGTCTGTAGGCACCTTAAAGATGAATTCCAGGTATGGATATTTTTACATAGTTATATTGGTCTAGCTTGGACCAATGTAACTATGTATATACTACACTTGTGAGATCCTCCAGAAGCTGGAAATCACTGTAGTAGACACAACTTCTCACAAATACATAATAGCCAATTTTCCATGCCAATGTTTCGAGCCCTGGCCACCTTCCTCAGGAAGACTCACTGAGAAATCCTTCCTTCGAGCACTGGTGATTTTTTTTACTCTTTATTTCTGGTCATACATGGCACCATCTGTTACAGTCATTGCAAACACTGCATGAAGTTATACGTATCTGGTGTAGCACCATTGGACTTTTGTAGCTCTACATGGGACTGTCCAAACTGGAAGACTTTCTCTTGATTCCTGATCAAGTAGCAATATGTGATTTCTGATTTTCTCTCACTATCAGTCATGGTGACGGTGGTCATCAGGGGAATTAGAAATGAACAATCTCCCCAGTGTTTCAGCCAGGGTTTCTAACCACTCACTAATCTAAACAGTAAAAGAAGGCTTTGTATATTTTTTAAAGTGAAACTGAACTGAAAAAGTGAAGACTTGCTATGTTATAAGAGTGTCTAGAAATGTTAACTGTGCCTAGCAGAACCCTGAAAAATCTACCCTATGTCTTGAGTTCCTCCTGAAAAATATCAGTGCACTTCCTAGTATAAGAGGATACCTAGGTAGGCCCGTGTCTACAGCCTCCTAATTGTATATCTTTAGTATGAGATCCAAGAAACTGCTGTTTCTAAATGCGTTTCTTAGGAGATCTGTAGTGAGATTTGGTAATGTCACTACCATGCTGCTCAATGTTTTCCTTGTTGGATGCTCTTACATGTGGAAGTGAAGCCTTACCTCTATCAAGATGGCCACCTCCAACACATCAATATATTGCAGAACAAGGCATTGTAAGTCTTGAAGGATTAGCTGCAGGGAGACCAGAGGCAACACTGCTGATTAGTCCTTTGTCCTCTGTTTGAGGCAAAGATTCCAGAGTTCAGTTAAAGTTAAAGGAAAGGTAGGGCCAAAGCTCTTTTCACCCTACTTCTCCTATGGATCACAGGAGTGCGCTTTGTTCTGCACTTTGTTCTTTGACCCATTTTCAGATGACAGCATGGTAAAACTCACTGTCGATTGATGTCACAGAGGTGGTCCAGACTCTGGAGAAATCACAACTTTAATGTCAGGATCCACTTGTAGATGCCTGGACTAGCCACTGAGAGGCTGAGCCAGCCACTGCCTCCCCTCCACAGTCCAGCACTCCAATGAGTGTTGGAGGGCCAGAGCAGAGGCTGGTGACCGACAGTCACTGCTCTCTGCTCACTGAAGATGGAGAACTGAACGACCAGAAGTCTTTGATCACTCAGTTCTCGGTCTTAAATCGATGCTGCATCCACCTAGGTGAGTATAAATGTTTTTTTTTACAATCTTAAACTTCTCTTTTAATAAATAAGGCTTGGTCCAGGAACCAACACAACTTGCAACTGACCAAAAAAGCTGCGACAGCGCACTGTATTAATTGTCCTTCTACTCTACCAATCTCAAACTATGTTCACAGTGCAGAGACAAAGCAAGAGAGGCCTAACTGGTTCAGAGTTCATCCCCTACCTGTCACAGTCTGTGTGCTGATGTGCAGGGAATTACAGGAAGCTGAAATCAAGAGATTTTGACACTTACATTAGCTCTCAATAAAGATATGTGTCACGTTGCTTAGTCAGTACATGAAGGATTAAATAGTGCTTTTTATTAGCTGCTTGAACATCAGTATTACGTCCCCTAAAACTGATAATTCATTATTTTGATGACTGTTATCAGCTTAAATCAAGCAAGTGGTCACATAGAACTTACTGACAGCATCCTGTAAAGATGTAAAAAGAAGGTGACAACTTCATGCAAGACAAACTGCAGGAAGCCATAGCAACTAATAAATTCATGTTATTGAAGGAAAACTAGTACAAGATTAATTCTGATTGGATGCTGTGGATTACTACACTTTGCACTTAACACTTTCTCATTTTGTTATATTATTAAATCCACCAAGTTGTGAATATCCCTAGTGCAATGCACATATTAAAAGTATGCAACTGAATACAAATAGTATTTTTTTTTTAAATCTCTTGTTCTTATCTTAGGCCTGCTTCCTGGGATTTGAGGTGTCCATGACATTCTTAAACTGGCTGATCCCAGACAGCTCTTGAAGACCCTGAGGACACTGACAGTTTGTGCTCCATATATCTAAAAATATAAATTGTGATCTTCAAACATGGAGCTCATTCAGCCTAGAGACGTTACTGTTCGTCTATGTGGCAGTCAGCACCAAAAACAAAAATGCTTGGAGGATCCTATTTTATTGACTCAAGAAGTATATATGCAGCATGGCTTGTGACTGAATATTGATGAATATTGAAAATCTTGGCTATATCAAGAGCCTAGAAGAGACTAACCCTGAATAAACTGACAACTTGGAGTCCAAAACATTCTTCAGACTATTCCACTTTACAATCAACACTAATATAATGACTTTCTTAGCCAGCATGGGTCAAACTAGAGGAAACTGGGGCTGCAGGTGTTAAAGTGTCATTCTTCTCGGACCTCAAAGTGTTAATGTGTCATTGTTCTGTAGCTCCAAGTGTCACTGTGCCATTGTTCTGGGGATCCAAGTGTCACTGTGTCATTGTTCTGGGGCTGCAAGTGTTAAAGTGTCATTTTCCTGGGATTTCAAAATGTTAGTGTGTCAATGTACTGGGACCTCAGAGATACAGTATGTCATTGTTGTGGGGCTCCAAGAGTCAGTGTGCCATTTTTCTATGGCTCCAAGAGTCAGTGTGCCATTGTTATGGGGCTCCAAGAGTCAGTGTACCATTGTTCTAGGGCTACAAGTGTCAGTGGGCCATTGCTCTAGGGCTACAAGTGTCAGTGTGCCATTGTTCTAGGGCTACAAGTGTCAGTGTGCCATTGTTCTAGGGCTACAAGTGTCAGTGTGCCATTGGTCTAGTGCTACAAGTGTCAGTGTGCCAATGTTCTAGGGCTCCAAGAACTAGTGTACCATTGTTCTGGGGCTACAAGAGTCAGTGTGCCATTGTTCTGGGGCTCCAAGAGTCAGTGTGCCATTGTTCTAGGGCTACAAGTGTCAGTGGGCCATTGCTCTAGGGCTCCAAGAGTCAGTGTGCCATTTTTCTAGGGCTCCAAGAGTCAGTGTACCATTGTGCTGGGACTACAAATGTCAGTGGGCCATTGTTCTGGGGCTCCAAGAGTCAGTGTGCCAGTGTTCTAGGGCTACAAGTGCCATTGTGCCATTGTTCTAGGGCTACAAGTGTCAGTGTGTCTCTAAGGGGTTAATTTACTAAAGCTGTGGAGTGCAAAATCAGGCTCACTTCTGCATAGAAATCACTCAGATTCCAGTTTTTATTGCCAAAGCGTAAATGAAGAAGCTGTGGTTAGAAGCTGATTGGTTTCTATGCAGAAGTGAGCCTGATTGTGCACTCTCCAGCTTTAGTAAATGAGTCCCCAAGTGTCAGTATGTCACTGTTCTGAAACCAAAAGTGTCAGTGCCATCCCTTTGGGACACTGAGTTTTATTGTGCCACTGTTCTGTCAGTGTTTCTGTTTACTGATCCTGTTTATATAATAAAATTATTTATTTATAACTGTTGTCTATTATGAAGCTAGCATGCTGTGGATTCAAGCACTAAAGTGTTTGAAAGAGGCCCTGTCTGTGCTATTGCTTGTTATAAATCATCATTATCAATTTTCATCTTGAAACCTACACTGACATCATGAATGGAACTCTTGCTCTTAGTGATCTAAGTGTAGCACACCCTTGGGTGGAACTTGGCTAGATATATAGGTTTAGCTCCCACCTGAATCTGGTGACACCTCTGATTATACCCAGAACACTTCGACACTCTGAGAATATTTTTTATGGGTTTTATTGAAGAAGACAAACCCTGAAAAAGAACTAGCTGATTTAACACAGGTAATGTACATAAAACACAGATACCACTTTGCATAACACAGTTAGTAAGAAGTCACAATTCACTCGCCAAAGACTCCAAAAACTGACTAGTATCACACTGACTAGAGTGACATATGAGAGTGGCATTGACACATGAAACAATGACTGTTAATGAGGTTTAGCAGCTTATTGACATTTGCTATAGCAGTACTATCTAGAGCAGAAATGTCCTACCTAACCACTGGCCAGTGGGATGAAACTTAAAGTCTCTCAACATTGGGGCCCTTTAATCAATGGAAGAGCTCACTCTCTGCATGGGAGAGTATTTGTAATCCAGGGGTAGCAGGATAGCACAGTCTGCTTTAAGCAGAATCTTCCAGTGAACATTGCAATAGAAGAAAAACAACACTTCAACAAAATCTTTACCATACAGGTGAAATCCTGATATACTGACACTTGCTCAGTATATTTAGAGCAGCCAGCTTCTGTGGGGACTTGGAAGTAAACACACTCTTCAGCCACAGCGCAAATCTTGAGAAGACAAACCAGTAATATACAGAGACAGAGTTCTCTCATCAATCAGCAGCAGGAATAGCTAATTCTGAGCAGCTTGGGCTTTCCAAGATCTGTGTCACTCTGAGAATTAGAGAGCAGGCTTTCTCATGACCATTCTCCAGAGATGAACAGCAAATGCAGCAATATCAAATCCCCTTTCATCACAGAGTACTCACTGTTTCTGGATTGTCCTCTAGATAACATTAGACAGTAGTAGAAATCCTCTCTCTTTCAGCAGCTCCAAACTTTGGGAGACACATGCACTTGAGTGGCTGTAATCCTGAGTGTCAGGCAGGACAATCCTTGGTTTGCACACTGTCCTCCTGCAACAATTTCTCTGCTACACACTCCCAGCCCAGTTTATGGGTTCCAGCAGCACAGAGAGGGAGACTCTGTGACTTTACACCAGGAGCCCTTGCTCCATGCAGTCCCCTGAAAATGTCTGCCTCCCCACATGTGCTTCTTCCTTTTTCCTCTCTCCTTTCCTCCACAGCCAATCATAAGTTCAGTTGCAACAGTGCTGCTATGGGTGGATCTTTCTCAGCTGTAGCAACAACCAATTAGAGCACAGTTCTGCTTTTTCCTGTCTGTCACTCACAAAGAGAGAAAAGAAAAAAAAATGCTTTGCAACTGCTGTTTAAGATTTAAAGCAACCAGCACATCTCTACATAAGACTTTCAGAAGAATGCTTGAGCAAGAGGTTCTAGGCTCTGTCAAGTACTGCCAAACTTCAGGACTGATTAATGGTGGACACAGCGGTTGACAGATCGTCCCGCAGCATGGCCCATGGTGCACGAGGCACAATCCTGGGAGGATGTCCACTTCAAGATGGGAGAACTCCCACCCGGCCATCATATTACAATAGTATAGGTATACAAAAAAGTAGCTGAAACTGCCTGTAAACTGCAGGCCATACATTGAACAATTTATGTGAAAATGCATTCAGAACTGAACCAGCTTTGGATTCCAAATGGACTGGATGGATCAAAGCAACCAAATGTTCCAGGTCCCATTTAGATCTATGCATGTAAGTAGAGGTATGTGATTTGGTAGAGTTACATAGAAAAGTGATGGCAGAAAAAATTTGAGTGGTCCATCAAGTCTGCCTGTTTTTTTGTGTGTGTTTTTTTTGGGGGGGGGGTTAGAGTTATATAGAAAAGTGACAGCAGAAAAAGACCGAGTGGTCCATGGAGTCTGCCTGTTTTTTGTGTGTGTGTGTATTTTTGAGGGGGGTTGGGTTTTTTTTTTGGGGGGGGGGGTTCTTGTTTTTTTTTGTTAATTTTTTTGTCTGAGTATAGATCTATGCTTGTCCCAAGCATGTTGAAGCTATTTACTGTTGACTGGTTCACTACCTCTGCTGGAAGTTTATTCCAAGCATCAACTATTCTTGCAGTAAAATAGTACTTTCTGAGATTAGTTTTGAACTTTCCTCCAGTTAGTTTAGAGTCATGTCCCCATGTTCTTGATTTTGATTCCCTGTTGAAAGTACTGCCCTCCTGAACATTAATCACCCCCTTGATGTATTTAAAGGTTTCAATCATGTCACCTCTTTACCTTCTTTCCTCAAGACTGTACATGTTAAGTTCCTGAAGTCATTCTTGATGTGTTTTATCCCCCAGACCTTTCACCATTTTTGATACCCGTCTCTGCACTCGTTCTATCTTTTTGTAAGTGAGGTCTCCAGAACTGGATACAGTTAAACTGCACCCAGAACACATGCACAGTGTTTGCCATGTATGCCAAAGGCCTAGTTCACACCAGTATGGTCAGTTCCAGTTCTTTCAACAAAAGTACAATCTGCTGCATTTCTTTTCATCCAGAACGCATCAAAATGCATGTAAACACACTGGAATACAAATAAAGATTTTTTTAAATGTCAATGCTTTGAAAATGCATACAAAATATGTGTAAACATGCATGCAAGCCTATGGCCACACCACCCTGAATGTATGTAATCTCTTCGGATCTTGGAAGCTAAGTAGGGTTGGACCTGGTTAGTACTTGGATAGGAGGCTGGCTGGGAATACAAGGTGCTGTAGGCTCAAAAAAAAGTGTATGCAAAAACTTGACATCCTTTCGAGGAAGTCAGGTGAAGTTATGTCAGATGCATGGACCAAAAGCAGAACTATAAAATCTGCAATTTTTGATACTCTGTGACTGGGGTTTTAGCTTCCTGATCCACTGTGAGCATTCTCCCTATGGAAGAAAAATATATTTGAAATATATTTAAAAAATATTCTTCCAAATATATTGACATACATTTGAAATGCTACAATTTTAGCCATATTCAATATATTTCAACAAATATATACTGCATGTCGAAATGCGTTTTTATTACAAAATATATGAAAAAATGTTTTTAAAAATACATTTCAAATATACTGTATATCTTTAAAAATACAAATCTACATTTTTGGAATGCATTTACAAATACAGTGGGGCACAAAAGTATTTAGCCACCAATTGTGCAAGTTCTCCCACGTAAAAAGATGAGAGAGACCTGTAATTGGCATCATAGGTAGACCTCAACTATGAGAGACAAAATGAGAAAGAAAATCCAGACAATCACATTGGCTCATTTGGAAAGAATTTATTTGCAAATTATGGTGGAAAATAAGTATATGGTCAATATCAAAAGTTCATCTCAATACTTTGTTATATATCCTTTGTTGGCAATGACAGAGGTCAAACGTTTCCTGTAAGTCTTCACAAGGTTGGCACACACTGTTGCTGGTATGTTGGCCCATTCCTCCATGCAGATCTCCTCTAGAGCAGTGATGCTTTGGGGCTGTCGCTGGGCAACACAGACTTTCGACTCCCTCCAAAGGTTTTCGATGGGGTTGAGATCTGGAGACTGACTAGGCCACTCCAGGATTTGAAATGCTTCTTATGAAGCCACTCCTTCGTTGCCCGCGCGGTATGTTTGGGATCATTGTCATGTTGGAAGACCCAGCCATGTTTCATCTTCAATGCCCTTGCTGATGGAAGGAGGTTTGCACTCAAAATCTCACGATACATGGCCCCATTCATTCTGTCCTGTACATGGATCAGTCGTCCTGGTCCCTTTGCGGAGAAACAGCCCCAAAGCATGATGTTGCCACCCCCATGCTTCACAGTAGGTATGGTGTTCTTTGGATGCAACTCGGCATTCTCTCTCCTCCAAACACGACGAGTTGTGTTTCTACCAAACAGTTCTATTTTGGTTTCATCTGACCATATGACATTCTCCCAATCCTCTTCTGGATCATCCAAATGCTCTCTAGCAAGCTTCAGATGGGCCCGGACATGTACTGGCTTAAGCAGGGGGACACGTCTGGCACTACAGGATCTGAGTCCCTGGTGGCGTAGTGTGTTCCTGATGGTAGCCTTTGTTACGTTGGTCCCAGCTCTCTGCAGGTCATTCACTAGGTCCCCCGTATGGTCCTGGGATTTTTGCTCACCGTTCTTGTGATAATTTTGACCCCACGGGGTGAGATCTTGCGTGGAGCCCTAGATCGAGGGAGATTATCAGTGGTCTTGTATGTCTTCCATTTTCTAATTATTGCTCCCACAGTTGATTTGTTCACACCAAGCTGCTTGCCTATTGCAGATTCAGTCTTCCCAGCCTGGTGCAGGTCTACAATTTTGTTTCTGGTGTCCTTCGACAGCTCTTTGGTCTTCACCATAGTGGAGTTTGGAGTGTGACAGTTTGAGGTTGTGGACAGGTGTCTTTTATACTGATAACAAGTTCAAACAGGTGCCATTTTGTCTCTCATAGTTGAGGTCTACCTATGATGCCAATTACAGGCCTCTCTCATCTTTTTAAGTGGGAGAACTTGCACAATTGGTGGCTGACTAAATACTTTTTTGCCCCACTGTATATGTAAAAATATGTAAAAATATATGTTAAAATTACTTTTTTTATTTGTTTAAAAAAATCTGAAGAATATATTTTAAAAAATATATATTTTTAATAATATTTTTTAAAATATAGTCTTCAGATTTTTTTAACATATAAAAAAGTAATTTTAACATATATTTGTAAATGCATTCCAAAAATGTAGATTTGTATTTTTAAAGATATACAGTATATTTGAAATGTATTTTTAAAAATATTTTTCATATATTTTGTAATAAAAACGCATTTCAACATAGTGTGTGTGTGTATATACAGTATATATATTTGTTGAAATATATTTAATACAGCCAAAATTGTAGCATTTCAAATATATGTCAATATATTTGGGAAGGATATTTTTAAAATATATTTCAAATATATTTTTTTTTCATGTGGGTCTAAACATGAAATAAACAGCGCGGTTCTAAGATTTACTGCACTATAAGCCTTGCTTTCTCTTATCTTATGCATTTGAGTATTGTAAGTTACCCCTTGGAGATTGCCCGGCCCTGAGAAGGAGCATTATCTGGCCCTGGCGTTGAAGAGCAGTAAGTTTTGTAAGAGGAAATTCGCATGTGATGCATGACACATGGCAGAAACCTACGGTGACTGTAGTGATTTCATGCTTGCACTTATGGTCACTATTTCATATGCGCATTGTTATATTTTTGTATGAGGTTGTTCTTGTGATATATACTACACTATATAGGATCAGTGCTCCCCTATACAGCAGATTACACAGGGGTGTGCTGTGCCCTCCTCCTCCTGTCGTGGCTTCTCCATACAGCAGATGACATAGGTTCACAAGATCAGTCCTATGTTATCTGCTGTATAGAGGAGCACTCTATAGACAGGAGTGGGAGGGCACAGCACAGCCCGCACCCCCTCCTGGCTCTCTCCTCTCTACCGCTGCCCCTCACTGTCTGAACTTTACTGCTCACAGTTTATTGCACCGGGCTGCCCTCTCTTGTCCCGGCCCTAAGTTCTGAAATGGGGAAAGGAGAAGCTCAGCAAACCAGGCAATGGGTTAATGGTGGGACCGTCCATGGTGTCAACCCTCTGGGGATAGCTAATAGCTAAATAGCCGTTCTAATATGACGCCCCACCACCACTGCCAACTTCGGAGACTTTAATAGGGTCTTCTGTCCCGATCAACCAACCTGCGCTACCGCTGGCTGGTCACAGAGCCAAACAAAGACTGCATTGGCTTTGTTTGGCTCTGTAATCTGCAATGACATTACATCTATATCAAATACTGGTGAAGCGCTTCCAATATAAAATAACGGGTCAGCAGGTGTTGGTTTTTTTTTATTTCAGCAAGTCAGTGTCGTCGTGATATTTTTGGAAGCAGTGATTGATGATGGATTACAATGATGGAACCATTTTTTTTTTTTAAATAATGGACTTGTCAAAACTGTTGTTTTGTTTTCTGTTCAATTAAGGTTTTTTTTTTAAAAGTCTGGCGTGTTTATTTTTTCACAATTTAGCCCTTTAGTGAATGGGTAAGGGTACTCATTTACAGGGGGGGGGGGGGGGCAGCATCAGGTTGCCCCCTTATTTAAAGGGGTACCCTGATGCTAATGAGCTCCCCTGCCCGCAGACCGCCACAACCACCAGGCCAGGGTTGTGGGGAAGAGACCCTTGTCCCCATTGGCATGGAGACACCATCCCAATGCTGAGGGCACGTGGCCTGGTAAGCTGCAGGGCCGCCCCCCTTTCCTGGCCTGCCAAGCCTATGCTCAGATCAAGGGTCTGCAAGGAACTTAAGGGGGACCCCATGCTCCCCCCATTTTAATGTATGTGGTTCCATTTAAAAGTCCTACCAGGCCTAAGAGGCCTGGTATGGCTTTTAGGGGGAACCCCACACACTTTTTTTTTAATTTCTTACTGTGGGGTCCCTCCTAACATTCCTACTAGACCTAAAGGGTCTGGTAAGGATTGTGTGGGGGGGGGGGGGGAATCCACCCTGTTTTTTTTTTTTTTTTTTATACAACAGGCATTTTATAAAAAAGTGTCAGTCCTGCTGCAGCAGGGTCTTTACATTGTACAGATGAGCAACTTTGCAGGAAGTTTAAGGGGACACCTCCAGGAATTTAAAGGCATTTTGCTTTTCTTTTTCTTTTTACTTTAAGCAATGAAAAATGACTGCCCCTTTAAATATTTGATTTTTTTTTTCACTGATTCATGGCCCTCAGGGCAGTACCCGAGTCCCATAAAGTTGCATTAAGTTCAAACTTCGGATTCAAACATTCGTTAGGTTCAAATGTTCGACCGCAAACTGAACAGGGTGGTGTACGGCTTATTGTGGTCTCAAGTATAAAAGAAAAGAACAACTGACCCTCCTTTTGCAATGGGGTCCATGATATAGGCCTCGTTCACATGGACGTTCCAATAGGGTCCACCTGTAAAACGGGTAGACAGACCCGATCGTAATGTTCATTCGCCTCTATGGAGCGGTGGGTGTAAATGGACATGTGTCCGTTTACACCCACTGACATCCAATCCGATCCAACCCACAAAAAAAGGGAAGGATGGGGATCCCCTTCTGTCCATCAGATCGAGTCGGATGGAAACGGACAGGGGGGTCCGTTTTCATCCGACCGCCCATTGAGGACAGAGAGCTGCTCTGTGTCTGCTCTGCAGCAGTGGAGCAGACACAGACCTGTCATCCGCTTGCTCAGCGGGGATCAATGCACACGTCAATCCTACACGTACGCAAACAACGATCATACCACACATCTGAGGTTTAATCGCGAATGTCAGATCATGGGCAGTCTAGCACCAGATCTCCTGTGTAAATCTAAAGTGGTAACCTGCAAAGGCTTTTAAAGCGTCGCCTATGGATAGTAAAATTTTGCTCATTTGTTGTTGTTGCACAAGTGTGCACAATTTTAAAGCACGACACGTTTGGTCTTCTTACTTGGCGTAACATCTTCTATATTTTACCAAAAAATTGGGTTATGTGTTGTGTTTCTTTGCATTAAAATTCAAAAAAGTGTATTTTTTCCCCCAAAAAAATTGTGTTTGAAAAACTGCTGCACAAATACTGTGTGACATGAAAAATAATACAAAAATATATAATGTTTGAGGGTTCTAAGACATTTTCTAGCAAAAAAATACTGATTGTTACATGTAAACAATTACATGGAAAGTATCGTTGCGCTCTAGCACAGTATTTCTCAATGTTTTTTCAGTCAAGGCACCCTTTAAAATTATGGACAGTTTCAAAGCACACTTTAAATTATGGACAGTCCCAAGGCACCCTTTAAAATTATGGACAATCCTGAGGCACCCTTTAAAATTATGGACAGTTCCAAGGCACCCTTTAAAATTATGGACAGTTCTAAAGCACCCTTTAAAATTATGGACAGTTTGGAGGCAACCTTTAAAATTATGGACAGTCCCGAGGCACCCTTTAAAATATGGACAGTCCCAAGGCACCCTTTAAAATTATGAACAGTCCCGAGGCACTCTTTAAAATTATGAACAGCCCCAAGGCACTCTTTAAAATTATGAACAGCCCCAAGGCACTCTTTAAAATAATGGACAATCCTGAGTCACCCTTTAAAATTGTGGGCAGTCCCGAGGCACTCTTTAAAATTATGAACAGTCCCGAGGTACGCTTTAAAATAATGGACAATCCTGAGGCACCCTTTAAAATTATGGACAGTCCTAAGGAACCCTTTAAAATTATGGACAGTCCCGAGGCACCCTTTAAAATTGTGGGCAGTCCCGAGGCACCCTTTAAAATTATGGACAGTCCCAAGGCACCCCATTCTAAAATGGGAAAACTATTCTAATAGTTTTATATAACTCAGCAACATCCACACATGTAGGACACCCAATATTAGAGGTGATTTATTCTTCCAAAGCAAATACACTTTTGTACACTGGTACTGACTAGTATTCCAATGTTTCTCTTCTCCCTCAGTTTTTCTCCATCACTGAGCTAATGTGACCCCCAGCATTGATGGAGAGGGGCGGGGGGAGGGGGTCAAACAAGGATGCTGTGCAGGCAGCTGACATCCTCATCATCTGAAGATGTCATTGGTTGTCAGGACGCCAGCGGCTAGAAAGCCGTAATGGTGCACAGTAAAAACGTATGGCTTTGTGTAACTAAAAGGCAGGCTTGTTCCACCTGCAGGCTCATATACACGTTTTGGGCAATTTGTAGACATTTTGCCAAGGCACCCCTGAAGAAACCTCAAGGCACCCCGGTTGAGAAAGTTTGCTCTTGTCATACACTGTAACATGAAGGTGTAAAAGTGTTGCAGTTTGGAAGGGCGTGTGCTTCAGTCATCTAGTAATAACAACAACAACAATAATAATAATAACAATAATAATTAGAATTGATGATAATAGTGCAGGGGCTGTTCCTGTGAGAAAGATGGAAGCAGACATTTTGTGTATGAGCGCCATCTAGCGATCAGAGATAAGAGTGCAGGCTCAGGGTGACATCAGTAGAGGACAGTCAGTAGGGACACCCGGGGTGAATAAAGCCTCCTCCCCTCACAGGGCGCTCTTTTCCTCTGCAGCAGGTGAGTAGGCTGACCGACAAGATGGCGGGGCTTTGTCTCGTCTGCTCCTGTCAGCTGTACCGGCTCCAGTGCTGACCCGGACGGCTGTACAGCTCTCAGTAGCGGGCAGTACATCCAGGAGAGAAGCCGGCTCCTCACTTCCTGGGAGGGGAGAGCAGACATGCGGCTTCCTCTGAACAGGCCGAAGCCTCGGGCTTTCCTAGACTGCTGCCTGGGTAGGAGGCTCAAAGGTTGCAGTGTGAAATTACATAAAAGGCCCTCAGAGTGTTGCAGGAGAAAACTGCAACACTCTGAGGGCCTTTTATGTAATTTCACACTTTCTTTTGCATGCTAATGTTCTGATTCAGATCAGAAATGTGTGTGTCAATCAGATGGCAACAAAACAAAACAAAACAAACATGATGTAATATTGGTGTGATCTCTGTTTAGTCTGTTATTATTATTTCCACTTGAGGACCAGGCCTTTACTGACACTTTGTAATTGCATGTAACAATATCCTTTTTTTTTTTTGCTAGAAATTTTCTTAGAACATCATAAATTAATAATAATAATAATAATAATTAATAATTTATTTATATATATATAATAAATTGGTGGGTGTTTCTATTTTTTTTTTTTATGTCACATGATGTTTGTGCAGCCTTTTGTCAAACAAAACTTTTTGGGAAGAAATACTTTTTCAATTTTAATGCAACAAACACAATACATAACCCAATTTTAAAAAAAATATATAAAAGATGAGTAAATAGATACTAAACATAGCAGGCTCTAAAATTGCGCACGTCCATGCAAGGGCAACAAACGACGTAAAGTTTACTATCCATAGGATCCTGTCACACGGTCATTCCATTTTTTTTTTCTTTTTTTTTTTTGCATGAGTTCAGTTATGTTTTTTTTTTTCAAAGAAAAACGAATCAGTTTACATCCGTTTTTTTTTCTTTCATCAGTTTACATCCGTTTTTGGGGGGGTTTGTTCATCAGTTTAAAATAGTTTTTCGTCTGTTCCCCCTTTTTTTTTTTTTTTTTTTTTTCTTCTGTAGGGATTTCTTCTGTTCAAAAGAAACTGATGTTAACGAATATGAAAATTACCGGGTGTAAACAGATGGTCATCTGTTTACATCCGCTAGTCCATAAAAATACATGGGTGTCCGTTTTTCATCCATAAACGGACAGATGAAAAACGGACATATGGAACAACCATGTGAGAGAGGCCATAAGCGACGTTTTAAAAGCCTTTACAGGTCACGGCTTTAGATTTACAGAGTAGGTCTGGTGCTACAGTTACTGCCCGTATTCGGACATTGATGTCTATACCTCACGGGGGACAGGGGCACTTTTAAATAAAAAAAATAAAAAAAATTATATATATATTTATTTTTTTTAGCACTTTTATTGCTGTCACAAGGATTTTAAACATCCCTTGTGACAGAAATAGGCAGTGACAGGTACTCTTTATGGAGAGATCTAGGGTCTATAAGACCCCACATCTCTCCTCCGCCCTCAAAAGCATTCAGTTACACCAAGATCAGTGTGATTAAAAGATAAGTTCACCTTTGGTTGAATGTTCAACACAGGTGTAGGGTGGAACATGTAACATGTTCCCAATGCTGCAACCTCTTTTATCAAAGGGTCCTTTTGATAAAGTCAGGTGACGAAACATGTCAGTTGAGTCCCATGACGATTGTTTACAACCGGCATGCACCTCAGTGATGTTCCGCTCGCGGTTAGCGAGGATGGTCGGGTGATTACTCACTGGCACCCGGTGATTGCCGAGGATCTCTGACGGGGAGGGAGAACTGTTAGTAAACAAAACAGTTCTCCTCCCTGTCAGCTCCTGCACACTGCTTTGCATGGCTCAGCACAGCCATGCAAAGCAGTGTGCTTACAGTGAAGCACATACACAGAACATGATATAAAACAGCACACAGTTAACCCTTTGATTGCCCCACATGTTAACCCCTTCATGCCCAGTGCCATTAGTACAGTGTCAGTGCTATTTTTATTAGCACTGATCACTGTATTGGTGTCACTGGGGATGTCAGTGACACCCAGTCAGTTTCCCCCCAGTGTCAGAATTCCTGCCATAAGTCGCTGATCGCCGCCATTACTAGTAAAAAAAAAAAAAAAAAATCCCAGTATCTGTATTGCCATTTGTAAACGCTATAACTTTTATGTAAGCCAATTAATTTACACGTATTGGGATTTATTTTTTTTTAGCAAAGACGTAGCATAATACATTTTGGCCTAAATTTATGACTAAATTAGATTTTTTTTACTGGACGTGTTTAATAGCAAAAAGTCAAAAATATAGTTTTTTTTTTCTCAAAATTCAGTCTTTTTTTTTTTTTTTTCTATTGTGCAAAAAATAAAAACCGCACAGTCAATCAAATACCACCAAAAGAAAGCTCTATTCATGGAAAAAAAGGACTTAACACATTTGGGTGCAGTGTTGCATGACCGCGAAATTGTCAGTTAAAGTAATGCATCGCCATAACGCAAAAAGTGGCCTGGTCAGCATGGTGGGGGGGGGGGGGGGGGGGTAAATCCTCTAGAGGGCAAGTGGTTAATACAAATACTGGTGCAGTAAAAAGTCAGTGTATTTTTTTTTCCTGCTATACTAACATTTTTTTATCTGTGTTATTTTATGTATATATGTTTTTGTGATTGTTTCTTCAGATTGCTGCTGACCTGTGAAAGATGCCTTTGGTGGTGAAATGGCCGTTTCCTGCTCGCATAAATTTACAAAGGCATGTAACCAGTACCGTAGTTACAGGACTTGTCGGCACTTACAGCTGGGTATGGACCAGTAAGTATCTCTAGATCTGCACTTAACGCAGAACTCCGGGAAAAATGTTATTATATATAAATACAGGTGCTTCCATACAACTCAATAAATTGTTAGTGGTATTGTGTATAGTCCTGCTGTGAGTGAGAAATCCAGCATTCTTTAATGCATGAAAGGCTCTCTATCCCCCTCATATCCTGTTTACAAGACCAATGGCTGATGTGCCCTTTTTCCCCCCCCCCCCAGCCACTGGTCCTGTATATTCCCCCTTGTAGTTCTTTGAAAGCAAGCATGATTTAACTGCGTTGCTGCTTGCTCCAGTGGGCAGTCCCAGGAGTCTTTGACTACCCAGTCTGATCTGCCCACTGCGCTTTATAGTAATGTTGTTGGGCCGGGAAACTCCCGGTTTGTCCCGCCTTCCATGATAAGAGTGGGCTGTCTCCTATTTGTAGAATACTACTGATCCGACGCACATACTCTCATAATCCCGCCCACTGAAGACTCTAAATCCCAGGCATGGCTGGATTTTCAGTCTCAGTGAGCAGCAAACACTAACAGGAAGTGACATCACTGCTTCTGAGATCCCTCTTCCCAGAACCTGGGGATTTGAGAAGAAGCTGGGCAATGAATGACATCACCACTTTTTTTTAAACAGTGAGTTTTGCACAAACTTTACATGTATTTTGAAAATGACATTAGTAGTTTTGTTTACATAAGGATGGCTATTGTACTGATTTTAAACTCATCCCAGAGTTCTTCTTTAAAATCTGAGAAAGGTGTCAAAACCCACAGATACTAATTTTTCTTTGTGTGGAAAGTGATTGGAGAATGCAGTGTGTAAAGCTGGCCATACACAATTCCAGTGAACTGGCCAAAATTTGAGCTATGAGTGGTCCTGCCAACACCACCTGGCTTTACAAACTTTGATAGAGAAATCAAAAGAGCCAGGTGGAAAAACATCAGCTAAATATCTGCAGTCATTGTTCAAGTGTTTTGACAGCTGTGGGCACTGGTTGTGTGAAAACGATAGCTAGATTTGTCCATCTGTGCTATTTAGCATGGATGGAGGAGGATCTCCGGGTTTCTCTCATTCATTCCAGCGGGCTCAACCAAAGAAATCTTACATTGCAGTCACAGGTAGGCCGGTGGCTCAATGAGAGGACTGCATGAGGAGTATACTGTGTGGAGTTTTTACTGACATCCTACAGAATTCTGAATTGGTTCATCTGAAACTTTGCAAACACACCTCAATGCACAAGTGGTGCATTCAAAAAATAAAATACTACATGTCTAATTTTTGGTGCTCTATTAGTCAGTTTAGTGTAAATGGGCTGCCTCTGCACAAAACAGGTTAAAGAACAAAATGCTGTACATTAATGTTCATGCGGTAATGCAGCATACTTCACATGGGTGAAGGAGGCCTAAAAGTTATGTCAAGGTTTGTTAATGAAACTGGAGCTTTGTGTCAGCTGTTTAATATTGCCATAACTATAATTTATTCCTACAGAGTACATGAATCAACTGAGAGTGCACAACAAAGAAGTTTTGTATGACCTTATTGAAAAACGACAGTTGGACACCCCTCTCCTTACCATCTCCAACCACCAGTCCTGCATGGATGACCCACACCTCTGGGGTAAACTGGCATCACGTGATAATGCTTCACATTTCCCAAAAGTTGGTTCATTCCAAAGCCTAGTCAGTAATCATTGCTGAGTGACAACATTAGTAGTAAAATTCTTAAATCCCTTTAATAAAGGTTTCTCCTCTCCTGCAGGAATCCTGAGAATGAAGCACCTCTGGAATATGAGGCAGATGCGTTGGTAAGTTCCATACTTCAAGAATTTTATGCTTTAATGAAAATTTAACTGACCAGCAATGTTTGCAATTTTGGAGCATCTGCTTTAACGTATCTTCCTTGTTATATCTCCTTGCCACAGGACACCCACAGCTGCCGATATCTGTTTTACTAAAGAGATTCACTCATTGTTCTTCAGTCTGGGCAAGTGTGTACCAGTGTGTCGAGGTTAGTGGCAAGGGTATGGCTTGTTGGCTTTATCTGAATGGCCTCCTGTTTTTTGTATTTTTTTACTGGCTGAGTTATCAGATTGTATAATTTTGCAGGTACTTGCAGTGCTGTGTGACCATTATTGCCCTATCAAAATCCAGAAAACAGCTTAAAGTGGAACATAAAATAAAAATGTGTGAACAGGCAAGCTTTTAGTTGCAGAAAAGGCATACTATGTCTCTTCTGCAATTAAAGATCCTTACCTGCCTTTTTGTGATCTTTATGACCTATGCAACTTAGGTTAAACTTTCAGCAATAGTCAGGATGGATGAGCAGCCACGTATGTGTACACTTTACGTCACCTGCATAGCCAATCAAAATGGTCAAAGATCCTGACTGGCTGAAGATGTTGGCGCCAGCAAGGGAACTTGGAGACCCTGCATTGCTGGAGGGGAGGTGAATATAGTGAAGCTTTAGGGCTGGTTCACACCATGCCTGCACAGAAATTGCACAGGAACGAGCTGTGGATACCTGTGCACTGCAACCGGATTGCATGGTACATTTCTACCATGCGATGCGGTGTGGGAAAATGCACTGCTCTTGCAACCTGCATTTGGGGTCATTAATTTTCTATTAACACCCACTGCAGATCGCATCTGTAGTGCGTTTTGAACATGGTGCAGGAAACGTGCATGGAACACGGGTTTCCCTCATCACGTTCTGGTGTCAACCAGCTCTTAAAGAACATCTCTCACCAGAGAAATACATTGCTGATCAAGACCAAGCATACAGCAAATGAAATTCAGAAAACTTGTATCTAAATTTGTAAATGGTGCAGAAAGTAGTGATTGTTACCATGGCATTCAGACAACTTGAATTTCAGAAGATGGTCAGCAGGGGTAGCCTGTGTATTTCTAATTGCAGGTTTGTTTTAAAATGACTATATACCAACATAAATGCTGCAGATTCCTTTTGTTAGATCAGCAAGGTTTACCAACTCTGTAGTTCAAGGGTCTTCTGTATTGAATAGATTATTTACTTAGACCCTCACACTGCATAGTTTGTTGGTAAATCCTGTGGATTATACTATCCGGTTTTAATGTGTGTGGCATCTAATATCCAGAGGTTAAAAACATGATCTTTAGACTGTACTTTTAAAATTGCAGCTTTTTTGTCATGGTTTTAATAGTTATAGCTAGCAATGAAGGAGGCATGTTATTAGTTCAGCACAAAACAGTTCTTTCCACCTAATAGCAACAGTTGTTTTATTGATTATTAAATGTGCCTTTCACAAGATTTAGGATGATGTTGAGTTATGTCTTACTGTTCTTGCCGTCTGCAGGGGATGGTGTGTATCAGCGAGGAATGGACTTCATTATAGAAAAGTTGAACAATGGTGAATGGGTGCATGTATTTCCTGAAGGTAATAATACTGTTACAGGCTACCAACTAGTCCTAGGTTTTTTTTATATTTTTATGCAAGACATCATATACAAAAAAGGCAAACGACCACCATTGTGACAAATACAAATGGTGACAGTATAAAAGAGAATGCTGACCAAAAGCAAAGTGTGCTACATACAATAAGACCAGAAAGATCCAATTTGTAAGATCTGGTATAGTACAAACAAGGATAATGGACCAGGCAAAGCCAATTACAAATAAATCGAAAAGTATACACCTTGGAACAAACCAAAGTTACATAGGTAGTCTGTCTGAAAAAAGACAAAAGTCCATCCAGTTCAACCAAAAAAAAAAAAAAAAAGTTATAATCCTATACTCAGTTGATCCAGAGGAAGGCAAAAAAACCCAGCAAAGCATCAACCAATTTGCTCCTGCAGAGGAAAAAAATACCTTCCTGATCCCTCGAGAGGCAATCCGGATATTCCCTGGGTCAACTTTACCTATAAACGTTAGTAACCAGTTGGATTCTGTGTATCCAAGAAAGAATCCAGGAGTGCAAGGGGGAGTAGGGCAGCAACTAGTCCTAGATAACCAGTATTCAAAGAATGGCAAATGTGTGGCCTGCTAATATTATCAGTGAGAAGGACTGTTTGTCACCCTAACAATTACTTTTAGGAATTTCTTAACAAGTACAATGAGCTTGAGGCACCATGCATAGTGCAACTGGATAGGACTTTTTTTTTTTTTTTTTTTTTTTTTTTTTAAGATCTAGAAAAAGAACACGTGACTTTTCAGGAGAAGGAATCTATCTCTAGATTTGTAATTTATTGTTGTTGCACTGTAAGTCTTGTAAGCCACTAAAGAAGCTCATCTCTCTGCCCCTTGACACTTTAGGTAGCCAAGCATTCCTATTTTTTTACAATCAATTTTAAAACTGCACTGACCAAATTTAACATGCATTAACGTTAATCCAAGAACATTTGAAGGGTCTGTGCATACAAAACAGGTATTTCAGTGTTTGGTGAATACTGGAGAGTTAAACCATCTGACAATTTCCTATGTATATCAGGGACTTTCTTGGTGAGATCTTGGAGTTCCTGGGTCTGCATGCTTGCTGTGGACATTGGAGGTCTCTGACCATTTCTGCTAAATTGTTAATTCTTTGGTTTGAGATTAGGATGGAGAATGCAACAGGAATAGCTAGAATACACAATGGTGGTTGGGAACATCTACAATTCCTAGTTGGAGCAGTAAGATATTGCAGAGAGTTGTAATATATAAAACACACAAAGGGCCAGGGGCTCATTCAGCACAGGCACTATCTGTAGCTAAAATATCACTTTTGGGTAGACTGACCTTTTTAATCATCTAAGGCAGCCTTTCTCAACCTTTTCAACACAGAGGACCCTTGAAATAACATTCCAGTCTCCGGGAACCCCTACTAAAAATGACTTTGGATACAACTCATGATTCATTAGTGATGGTCAGTGGGAAGAATGCTCCTTACACTTGTGTTTAGTGGGAAGAAAGATCACTGGTGTCAGTGGGAACTTATATGAGAGGCATAAACTGCTCATTGCTCAAGGAACCCCTAGCAACCTCTGGAGGAACCCTGGTTGAGAAACCCTGGTCTAAGGGCTTTGTCACACGTGTTTTGATTATGAAGAATGAAGCAATGCTCATTAACGCACCTATAGCATTTATTACGCATTTTTTGTTTTGTTTTTGAAGCAATGAAAAAGCATAAGAATAAATGCCCCCAAAAATGTTGTTTTTCTAGAGGAAAGCAATTAAAGGGGAAGTGATGTAGAGGAAATTTACTTTGAGGTGTGGTTAGGTTGTGGTGTGATAGCAGGCATTTTTGTGAATTAATCTGGTTCAGATCAACTCTGCTGAAACAAAAAGCTATGACAATGATGCTCGATGCCTCTGCTCCTTTCCTGGCACTGTCAGTATTGCTGCCTGGATTGATGCTTTTCCCTGCACACAGAAGCAAATGGTGTTACCGTTCAGCTGCTCTGTACAAACAGGAAGCTGATCTATCCTAGTTCTATTATTTCCCAGTGCCTTGTGGCATACAGGAACCTCCACTGCCATTTCCTCCACCGCCCAGCTACCACTATATAAATGCTTCATTAACACGTCAAAAATGCTCTAGGTGTTGTTAAAGGATTAGATCCCCCCCCCCCCCTCCAATCCACCATTGTGACAGCAAGGTGGATTATTATTATTTTTTATATAATATATATAAAAACGCTGCATAAATGCCTCTTAATCATAGGGTATTGACTTGCAACAGCTTCTACAAGGGATCCTAATCTTGCGGTTTGAATTCTTTTCATGTAATATGCATTCAGAGGAGTGAAAACTCCCCTGTTATTGTTGGAGAAGTGGGACTTCAGAGTAGGCAGGAACATACACATTCTTAGACTTGTTATCAAATTATCCCCTTTGTTTATCTGTAATTGAAATTTGCCTTTGGCAGGAGTGATACTTCAATTATACATATAGATAAGTGACAAATGTAGATACGTCTGTTTTATTCTCATGGACTGTTAAAATTGAAGTTGTGTTTTTTGTAGGAAAAGTTAATATGACGCAAGAATTTGTGCGCCTAAAGTGGGGTGAGTAAGCTTTGTATGAGTAAGAGTAATGTAGATGGTTGTCACGGTAAGCATAGTTTTAAATCCTCCTCATTTTTTCCTTTGCTAGGCGTCGGACGTTTAATATCTGAGTGTACTGTGAACCCCATCATCCTTCCTCTCTGGCACGTTGGTTAGTCCTTTTTGTATTATAATCCTTGTGTCTAAACAAAATGACTGCATGCACTGATTCTCAATTTTTTTTATAATGCAGGGATGAATGATGTGCTTCCAAATGATCCTCCCTACATACCTCGCTGGGGGCAGGTAAGTGTGGAAAGTATTAAATGGTAGTTCCCAACAGCTAACGTGAGCTAGTTTTTATGCGTATTTGTCTTGTATTGATTCACAGCCCCTTTTACAGTTGACATGACTTACTTCAGATATCACCAACTCGGGTCCTTTTATTCTTTCATTTATTCTGTCGATGCACTAATTAAATAGTGTACCGGCTAAAGAAAATGTTCAGGTTTAAATTTCACAAGTTCAGCCAAAACATTTCAGTTTTCAATAAAAAGGTAACTGTAGTGTGTTTACATTTTCAAGATATTGAAAAGATTACATGGGAGTAATTCTATATAATACATGTTCTTGTTCAAGTGTTCATGAACAAATTTTTAAGATTCTTTTCAAGTGGCAGTCCGTATGACACAGGTATTGGGGGAGAGTAACTAAAACTGGTGCACACAGAATCTGGTGCAACCATGCATAGTAACCAAGCAGCTTGTAATTTCAGTTTGACAATAAAACATAGAAGCTGATTGGTTACTATGCAGAGCTGCAACAGATTCTCTGTGTACTAGTTTTAGTAAATCTTCCCCATTGCATTTGCATCCTTACTCAGCAATTTGTAAGATAAAAATTAAGGTTTCCCCATTAGCTTTAGAAAGTGTTTGTTTCTTATTAAAGCGGTAGTAAACTGTGGCCTTTAAAAAAAAAAAAAAAAAAACCCTGCAAGACAATTGTATAATGTGCTAGTATGCAGAACGAAGCCCTCCAGCGGCATGCTGTCACCGCTGACGGGGCTTCCATCTTTACCCGGTCTTCCTTCCGGGTTCACGTGCTCCGGCCTCCTGATTGGCCAAGCCGCAATGACCTCATTCCTGTATATGCACACGGGAGTTTCGGCCATGACACAGAGCTCTAAAAGAACTGCACAGGTATTTGAAAAAAGCATGGAAGTCTATGGCTGCATGCACACTGGCTTAAAAAAACTGCCAGTGCTCTTGGTTGAAAAAAAAAAAACCACTAATTTTGAGCGTTTTGTGTTGTTTTTGGTTTTTTTTACATAGTCTGGCTGAAAAAAGACAAAAGTCCATCCAGTTCAACCATAAAAAAAAAAAAAAAAGTTGTAATCCTGCACCCACAGTTGATGCAGAGGAGGGCAAAAAAACCCAGCAAAGCTTGATCCGATTTGCTCCTGCAGGGGAAAAAAGTTCTTCTTGATCTCCCGACAGGCAAAAAGATATTCCCTGGATCAACTTTACCTATAAATGTTAGTATCCAGTTATATTCTGTGTATCCAAGAAAGAATCCAGGCCTTTTTAAAGCAATCCACTGCGCTGGCCAGAACCAACTCTTGAGGAAATCTATTCTACATTTTCACAGCTCTTACTGTGAAGAAACCTTTCCATGTTTGGAGATTAAATTTCTTTTCCTCCAGACGTAAAGAGTGCCCCCTTGTCCTCTGTGATGACCTCAGGGTGAATAACTCTACACCGAGTTCACTATATGAACCACTGATGTATTTATACATGTTGATCATATCCCCCCTTAATCTCCTCTTCTCAAGAGAGAATAAGTTCAGTTCCACCGAGCTCTTCCATGCCTCTGATCATTTTGGTTACCCTTTCTCCAGTTCCCCAATGTTCTTTTTGTGAATTCGTGCCCAAAATTGAACAGCATATTCCAGATGAGGTCTTACTAATGATTTGTACAGGGGTAAAATTATATCTCTCTCTCTGGAGTCTATACAAGAGAGAATTTTGCTCACTTTAGAAACTGCAGCTTGGCATTGCATTCCGTTATTAAGCTTGTGATCTACTGGCACTCCAGAACCTTCTCCACCATTGATTCCCCCAGTTGTACCCCCCCTAGTATGTATGATGCATACATATTCTTAGCCCCCAAGTGCATAACTTTACATTTATCAACATTAAGCCTCATTTGCCACATAGTTGCCCAATTACACAGTGCATTGAGGTCGGCTTGTAAATTGCAGACATCCTGTAAGGACATTATTCCACTGCAGAGCTTGGTGTCATCTGCAAAGACTGAAATGGGATTTATAATCCCAAACCCTATATCGCTTATAAATCTATTTAAAAGTAAGGGTCCCAACACTGAACCCTGGGGTACACCACTGACAACCCTAGACCATTCAGAGTATGAATCATTAACCACTACTCTCTGAATACGATCTTTTATCCAGTTTTCTATCCATTTACATACAGTTTTTTCCAAGCCTGTAGACTTTTATCTTGCCCATTAGCCATGTCTGGGTAACTGTGTCAAGCGGTTTTGCAAAATCCAAGTATACCACATCCACCGCCACCCCTCTGTCCAAGTATACCACGTCCACCGCCACCCCTCTGTCCAAGGTTTTGCTCACCTCTTCATAAAAAGAAATCAGATTTGTTTGACAACTTCTGTCTTTCATGAATCCATGATGTCTGTTGATTAAAATATTTTTTTCCAGCAATAATTCAGCTATGTGGTCTTTTATTAAACTCTCCAGTATCTTCCAAACTAAAGAAATTAAACTGACAGGTCTATAATTACTTGGTAAAGATTTTGACCCCTTTTTAAATATAGGCACCACATTGGCCTTATGCCAATCCAGTGGTACTATGCCAGTCATTAAAGAGTCCCTAAAAATTAGAGACAATGGCTTTGAAATGACAGAGCTCAATTCTTTAAGGACATGTGGGTGTATACCATCCGGTCCAGGTGCTTTATTCACCTTTTATTCTGTCTAAATATTTCTGGATCAGATCAATTGTGAGCCAATGTAGATCATCTGGAGCTGTGTCAATACTATGCCCATTATGGACAAGAGCTCCCCCACGCTCCTTTGTATACACAGAGATGAAGAAGGTATTTAATAATTTTTCTTTCTCTTTATCCCCACTCATCCTCTCCTAGATTATTTTGTAAAGGGCCTACATGCTCGAACCGAACCTTTTTGCTATTCATAAATTTGAAGAATTTTTGGGGGTTTGTCCTGCTATCTTTTGCAATCTGTCGTTCGTTTTCATTTTTTGCGGCCTTTATTTACTTTGCATATTCTGTTATATTCTTTGTAATGTTTAAACGTTGATAGCGTTCCTTCATATTTATATTTAATAAAATCTCTTTTTCTTATTATCTATAGCTTTTTTAACTTTGGCCGTAAGCCACATAAGTTTGATTTTAGCCTTTTAAACTTGTTGCCAATGGGAATATATTTTGCAGTGTGTTCACATACAGTCTTTTTGAAGAACTCCCATTTTTGTGTTGTGTTCATCAATGCCAATATTCCCTCCCAGTCTAAGTCTTGGAGAGCAGCTCCAACAAGTGTGAGGCACATATGCAAACTATTGTAATTCCTACACCGTTCACCTGATTTGGATGTAAATACCCTCAAATAAAGCTGACAGTCTGCAGTTAAAGCACATCTTGTTTGTTTAATTTCAAATCCATTGTGGTGGTGTATAGAGCCAAAAATGTTAGAATTGTGTCGATGTCCCAATATTTATGGACCTGACTGTAGGTTGCACCCCTATGAAAAGTCATCCCAGTGCGCTAGAAACTCAAATCCTTCCCTCTTACAGCAGGTCTTTAGCCATGTTTTTAGTTCTTTAATCTCCCCCTGACTTTCCTGAGTTGCGCACGGCTCAGGTAATATTTCAGAGAATATCACCTTTTTGAGGTACTTCCCTTCAACTTGCAGCCTAGTTCTTTGACCACTTCCAGACCGGACACTTTTACCCCTTCCTGACCAGGGCAATTTTCAGCTTTTAGCGCTATCACACTTTGAATGACAATTGCGCGGTCATGCAACACTGTACCCAAATTAATTTTTTACCATTTTTTTGAGACAGATAAAGCTTTATTTTGGTGGTATTTATTCACCGCTGGGATTTGTATTTTTTTTTGCTATGTAAATGAAATGTCCAAAATTTTGAAAAAGTGTTTTTTTTTTTAATAAAATTTTGCAAATAAATAATATTTCATCATAAATCTTAGCCAAAATGTATTCCGTTATCTTTTTAGTAAAAAAAAAAAAAAAATTCAAATTAGTTTATAAGCAAAAATTATAATTTTTAAACACTTTTTTTTTTTTTACATTTTTTATTTTTTTTTTTATATTTTTTTTTATTTTTTTTTTACATACTGTCACCCTAGCAGTACAGTGTCACCATGGTGACACTGTACTACTTGTGGGGGGTGATGAAGATTTTTTTTTTTTTTTTTTTTTACACTGATTGCTTTTACACCCATATAGGATGTAAAAGCAATCATTTCTCTTTCTCTCTGTGTGCATTGCTTGCACTCATTGAGAAGTACTGAGTGAGCTGTGATTGGTCACAGCTTGTCACATGGTACAAGGCTTTTGTGAATAGCCTTGTACCATGTGACCTCTGTGATCATTCACAGATTTCACACGTAGTAAGCAATGATGTCAGAAGTGACATCTTGCTTACTACTTTGCTTGTGATCACTGATTGGCCAATCAGTGATCACATGATCGGGACCTCGTACAGAGGTCCCGTCCGATCGGTGTTTCACTGTGTCCGGAGGACACAGCAGGGGATCGCGGGGAGGCCGTCCCAGGGAGCGGCACCCCGAGGCCGTTTATAGACGGCCCCCGACCCGGGACGGGAGGTGGTTACATTGATTTTAAAGGAGCCTTCCATGTATTCTGTCATTGGTTTCAACATGGACCAAGACAGCTGGGTCATGCCCAGCCCCTCCCAGTAATTTATCAACCCGGTCCACCACAGCAAGAGGCAGCAGACCATTTGGTTGAGGCGATCCTGGCAACAAATTATTTTATCAATCCTTCTGATTATAGAATCCCCTGCTACCACCAGCTATATCTAGGCCTTCTGCACTACCCCCACCACCCCTCCCAGATGGTCTGCCCTACCGGCTGTTAGGGATAGCAGTGACATCCAGGGCTGCTACCCGTGAGCTTGCTACCCCCACACCTTCATCCAACTTGGCAAATCTGTTTGGTTACACAAACCCAGGGCCAGCCTTCCTTTCCTGTGAACCCCTACCACTCCCTCTCATTACAGTAACCCATCTTC